ATTACCATAAAAAATTCAGGTTTATTAGGGTTGGGGTTATTTTCTTATGATAATCAGATACTGTAATATTTATGATTTTCAAGAGCCCAACATGTTACTATACATTTTCAATCATGACTGTAAAGAAACTCTGAGAACGCTTAGAGTGTGGTAGTCCCCTTCTAGAAAAAAAAAAGTGCACTCACTTGCAGGAATAAAAATATCCCCATTTACCCATGAAATGATGGTAATGAATGATTTTTTTTTTTTTAAAAAACCCACTATTCACAGTATATATATGGTGTGATTATATGTAGAAGGTCCTTGAGTACTCAGCAAATCTGCTTTTGATTTAGTTGCTTGGTAACAAACACATTAATGGTAGTTATACTGAGACATATGTTTCTTTACCAATTCCAATGTGAGTTGGAAAGAAATGCTGGTGTGGAAAAAGTATTTTCAAAAGTTAGTCTTCAATACAAAAGATGAGGAAAACACATTGTTTTTGTTCCGCTTGACTGCAGTGTTATTGTAGGAGAAGGCATGCATAACCAAACTTGTCCAGAAATGTATTTAATGTACTTGGAAAACATTAACTTCCTGTAGCTGTATTTGTTGCTCCTGTAAGCCTTTTGCGTGGCTTGATTATGGGATAGAATTCCACATGTTTGTTTTATACCTTAGGGTGAAAATAACTCTGTTTTGGAGGTGGTTTTGTTTGGTTTTTAATTAAAATGTAACTCTCTGCTTTCTGGATCCAAGATGCTTATTTTAGGGAAAGGGGGAGTAATTATTAAACTATGCACTTGTTGATAATCTTCAAATTTGTTTTTATAGTTTTTAGTTGTTTTCTTTTGTGAATTAGTCTCCTGCCTGAGGCTACAAAGCAGGAGCTGGGATTTGCATGTAATGGCTGGTCCTGGTTCTTCAGGGCTGGAGGCTGATGCTGGTGTTTAGAGCCGGCATCTGGTCTTGCCTGAGATCTCAGTGACCCTCTGCCTATCCCAAAAGCAGTTGCCATTACAGGTTGCTTCATATGCTTCCACAATACCCCTTTTTATTGCACTGGGGTTGATAACCCATTTCAGTAATCTGGGCCCATTTAGAATACAGTTTAAAACACATGTCATATATGGAAGAAAAGTAGTAGAACAGCTGCTCATAACTCAGCTGCTCACCTCTTGTGTTCTCCTTCCCTTGCCCTTTAGACTAGGGATTTGCAAAGTTGTTTCCTCACAGACTTACTGAGTGTATAATGTGTTAAGCTAGGACATGGAAAATGACTTAGGCTGGTGCCTGTGGTGTGACACCTGTAAAATAGCTCCTTCAGGAGCTTACTGACTGCACAGTAACATTGAAGGCCATGTAGGTGGGAAGTAGAGAGCCTGCCTTTCTCTGTTCAGGAGACCCAGCTGGTGGCAGTTTCCTGGGGCTTGATTAGGCCATTTGAGCTTCAGTTGACTAATGGCTATGATGTCCAAACAGTCAGCTGTTTATCCCAGCCTTGGCACAGTTTCCATGGTCAGCTGGCTCTGTCAAGGACAGCCTCAGCTGAGGCTCTTTGCATGCTGTAAACACAAACCATGAACTCCAACTATGTTACAATTTTATGTAAAATAAAACCAGTAAAAATCAAGGAATTCCAAGTTTTCAGTTGTGAACTCAATGTAAATTAGTCACACTAGCACATTTGGATTTCTTGTGGTGAATTTCCAATTTACTATTTCAGTTGGGGCATCCAGCATATAATCTGAAGATACTAAACCAAGTGTAACTGTGAAGAACTAGCATAAAAAATGACTGCTATTTTAATCTCAAAATAAGCAGCTCTCTGATTTTATAATGAACAGCAGTATGTAAGTATGCGTTACTTTTATTTCTTGGATAGCTTCTGTGGATGCTGGGAGACAAGCTGTTTATGCCATAGAAAAAAGCAGGTCTGACTTGCTAAAGGACATGTGGAAGTTCAACAATAACAATGCATATCGTACGATCTCTTTGGCATTCTCAGTTCTCATTATTTTGTGAAAAACTGCAAAATGGAATTTCATTCTTGTAGCAGACAGCTTTAAGGTAAAATTCCTGTCATCTCTTGTGTCTAGTTGACAGCATTCAATGAAGACCTTGGCTTCGGTTTGGAGAGTGTAATACTGTACATCGGGGCCAATGGTTAAATTTCCTGTAGAAACTGATACGTAAGTGGAAAAGAAATGTTTAGGGTTTTAAGTTATGAAGAATATAGGGGACCATAATCTGAAAATTAGACCTAGCCTACCAAATCTACCTCAAGTATGGCCTAGATTATCCAGGTGACATGCTAGGCTTCCTAGAGAGAGGGACTGTGGAATGAAATGGACCTGTAATTAATTGTGCCCTATGCACAGTCAGTTAAATAAAAATCATCAGTTTGTTTATACAGGTTTATTTTTTCACTGTTACAGAAGAATTTTGGGGTTTTGGGCTTTTTTTTGTGGATAGCAAATATATAAATGTTATTGATGCTGTTTTATCAGCTTCTACATTTAAAGCTTGAACAAGTGAGTAGCAAGATCTAGCTATATTGTGACACAAAAATGAATGCTCTGCTGGAGAGTGATTAGGTTGTATATCAAAATTTCTGCAGTCGCCAAGCATAGATCATCCTGCAGCACGCTCTGCACTAGGAGTGCAGGGTCTGAGATCGATTTTCTTGCTTTCTCCATGCAGATCAGGAGCCGAGTGCTGGAGACTTCTGTGATCAGTGCTGTCTGCTGAAGCCTGGCTGAGGTAGAAGAGAAGTAGAACATACTTAGAAAAAGGGAATGTTATAACTGTAAGATAGGAAGCATTGCGGGTGGCAGGTGGGGAAGGTTGGGGAATATGAGCAGAAGGGTCAAATAGCATTTTCACAAGAGCAGAAAAATCTGTAAGATTAGGCATCGCAGTGCAGACTGAGCCTTGAAGGCCAGGCTGATGAAGCTTTGAACCTGGCAACCAAAATCCTTATTTTTCATCTAGTGGCTGGCCCACAGCAAAGAGTTAGCTTTCTCCTTTTACCCATCAGTGGACTAATGGGTAGAGAGTTATTTCTGCAAGTGAAAAGGATTTTTTTGACCTCAGGGTGGAAAGGGGAGAAAAGGCTGTGCAGAATAGTTCATGTAGTCACCTGCATTTTTGCTGAAAGATTAACACAGTGCTAAATGTGAGATTGAAAGCTTGGTATACAATTGTAATCTCTCTTTACCTTTTTGTATGTCCTTGCGAATTAGATAATGGCATTTTTTATTTAGCAACAACCATTCCTGAATAAGAAAGCCAATTTTCTAGGATTTAAAAAAAAAAAAAATTAACATGTTATGATTAGCTGCAGACTGTATATCAAGAACAATTTCCAAGTAATAGGAATGCATAGTGGTTTATATGTAAATACTATTCAGAATTCACCTCAAGATCACCTCTTCCTTCCTTCCTTCAAACACAAAAGAAAACAAAACAAAGCAAACAAACAAAACCCAAACTCCATATGTTTGGGAAAGAATAGTAAAATACTGCTGAAAAAATGCAATGTGCTGGCTAAATAAATGAGTTTTGGCAACTTGAGTTTTGATTTTAGAAAATATACAATAGCAAACTCAATTGGCTGACAAAAATTATGAGTGCTTGATGGATGCTTTTGTGTGTCTGACAGAAGTCAGAGTTTTCTGTGTGAGAAGGGAGTTGTTTTAGCTGCTTCTAAGTATAGATTATACATTGTTATGCAAGCATGGATCACTGCACTGCTTTGCTGCCTTTGGTGCTCTATACAATTATGCATCTCATGGCACCTCGTGCATTTCACATTTGCTTTTTGTAGTGATATGTGAGTAGATATGATGTTTCAGTATTTTAGGTGATTTTTATTCTAAATTGTTCAGTTTCTTTAGCTGCTTAAACGAAAAGCCAGTTTATGTTTTAAGGCAGATACACAAATAAGGGGAGATTGCAAAATAGTCCTGATATTAGTCCTGTCTAGCTTGACCAGCAGTCTAGGAAACACTCATATTATGCAAGTTTTCTTGTAGCTAGTCTCCAATAAGTAAGGCATGATTTGATAATTGGTATGGTAATTAACCTGGAAAACTATCCTCTACTTCGCTTGCCAGCTGGCTTTATATGCTGTGATGTTAATTGGTAAACTGATCCAGTGAAGAGAAGCTTGAAATGTTTACAGGCTTGACTGTATTTAATTCATCTCTTATTTCAGTGAATGGCTTTTTTCTCTTGGTGGGGGGGTGGGTTGGTTTGGGTTTTTTTATTTGTGAAAACTGGTTTTCAGAGTTTTGGTGTTCATGAAGATTCTTCCAAAAAAAAAAAAAAAAAAAAAAAAAAAAAAAAAAATCATACTCCAACAGGACAACTTTTTTTTTTGTGGGATGTTCTTATCAGATATAAATTTCTGGCTTCATGAATTTATGTATGCTAGGCTGTAAAATATTGACATGCTTTTAATGTTAGTTTTGGTTGCCTTACATATGGTGTTTGTATATATATTCCTGAAACAACATGCTATTTGACAGAACGTGATCTGCATTAACTCAAGACTGTTTTGTCAGTTGAGAGTAAACAGAATTGCGTTATTGTAGTGAAACTTGTATAGTAAATATAGAAATATGTAGGAAACCTTAAGAGGATGAGGGATTTACTAGTTACAGATGATAAAAACTTGTATTGGCATTGCCTTCCTGGTTTATAGTAGGTGTTTGAGTTTTCTACTGATTTAAATTAAGGCAATGGCCCATGCCTAACGTAAGTATACATTGCAGGGATTACCTGTGATTCTCTTTAGAATGTTCACATTTAGAACATGGAAGCCTCTCTATCTATGTTTTGGTTTACAGTGTGCTAGTTTTAGAAATCATTCTTTTTTCTATAAGAAGCATTTGTTACTATAGGTATTTAGGGTGTAATGAGGTCTTCATGTTACTGTGGGTTTCTCTGGAAAAACATAGATGAAATGTAGTGAATTATAAGAACTGTTATTAAACATAATTTTTGTTTTATAGGTTATTCAGCGATAGTTATGAACTCCCGTTTACGAGCCTTAGGTGGGAGGATAAATAACATACGAGCATCAGAACTACCAAAAGAGAAAACCCGGTCAGAGATAATCTGTAATGTCCACTTCTTGGATGGCTCAGTACAAAGCTTCAAAGTCAACGTAAGTTTGGAAAACTACTTTTTTTTAAACACATAGAAATTAGTTTGAAAGTTGAAGATCAAATGTGGGACCCTGAGGCATGGAATTTCCAAAAGATTTTGAAGATATAGCTTTACCATTACAAATTGCAGAATTAGCGGTTATGAAATTGGATATGTAAAGTGCTATTTTAATCTTCAGAGTCAACCAACTGAAATGCCATAAAATAATGGCTTGCGGATTCTACCTAGAAAAAGGTCTTCTGTATGATATGGGAACCATGAGGAAACAGATCTGGTGATTGTTATCAGCTATGAATAAGTAATTCATATTTAATGGGACTCCCAAACTTAGATGTGCTCCTCCTTTTCTCCCATCAAGAGACTGGTAGTGCTAAAAGGAGTAGGCCTTGTAAATTCCTGTTGTGATGTCAGTACATATTTTCTGAAATGCAGAGATGGTGTAAATAGTGAAAACATGGCTTAGTAGGGCAGTTCTGTTCAGTCTTTTATATTTCAGTGTTGTCTCTTTATCTGGGAGCAGGGAGGGAAAGGGGGTTAACAGAGTTCTGTACTCTACATTCTTTACTGTATTCTGTAAATAGTTTATATCCTTCAGTACTGATTAAAAGTATTAGTTTGTTTTTAAATGATAACAAAGGAAATAACTTCACTCCTCAATCAATTTTCAGTAGAATTATCTGACTGTGCAGAAAAACCGTAGATGAATTTAACTACAATTGTGTGAATTTGTGTATATGATACTTGTTTTATCCCATTTACTCTATTTGATAAGTGTTCTGCTGAGGAAGCTGCGTTGTTGGATATCTTAGACTGTGAAATGCTTTCTTATAGGAGATTCAAAACTTCACCTTAAAGCTGTATTTTCCTAAGTATTACAATTCTCTGCAGACTGATTTTATTTTAGAACTTTGGACATTTATTGAAATAGAAATTATTTGATAGGTAAAGGATGATTTTGATTCTAATATATACAGATTTAGTCTCATATTTTAGCATATATTTTATATATGAAGTAACTAACATTGGGGAGTGGGGTACAAGGAAAGTAGGTACATAAGAGAAAGAACAACACATTAGTATATCATTTCCATTGTTTGCCTCCATCATGCCCTATAGGATTGCCTTGAAGGCAAATTGCCTTCTCCCCCTGCACAATGATCTTTAAAAAATAAAGAATTAAAAAGTTTTTGAAATCCATACATAGTATATTTTTCCTTGTAAACAAATGCTTACAGAGCAATAGATTTAGGGCTTGGCTTGAAGACCAGCACTGTTGTCTTAAGCAGTGAGTACAGTATGATAAATGGGAACCATTTTAAAAGTCTGGATCCAATTGATTTCTCTCCCTGCCTTCACCATAGCCCCAGGGTATCCCTGATGGTTACTCCCTTCATCCAGGAACTGGAATGGCCTCCTTTGCTGCAGCTGTAATGCTGAACTGCCACAGGGGCAATGCAGGACCCACTATTGGTTTATTGGAAAGAAGCAGGGAGTGTGGCTACCCTGCTATGTTACAGGCTAATGCAAGGAAGAGGTTTAACAGAAGGTTTATGTTCAAGTACAGAGCTTTCATACTGGTACTGAGGGAACCTGCACTTATTTCCTGGGATGGCCCTTCTTGATTATCTAACCTTGATAACTGCTGAAGAACAGGCTTTGGTGCACTTTAGTTTGTGTCGCAAGGTCCAGTTCTCAAAAGGGCTTGAAGCCAGCTGCAGAAAATTTGTGTCCAAGTTCAGCTTATGTTAAAAGAAAACTTAAGCTTTGTGAAGTTTGTGCCTGTTTTTGTGTGTGTTTTTATTTTAATTGCCAACATCATTCAGTTTTATGCCTGTGAGCAGAGAGTAACTCATGTCTGTGGTCAGCCTGTGAATCAGCTAGTCATGTATTGAAGAAAGTAAGTTTTGCTCTGAAAAGATTTTCCCCATTAGTGAAGTCTTTTTGTGTTGCTTTGGAGAAACTTTCTTACATCAAGACATTGATTTATAGATACGATTTTTCTCCATTCCTTATTAATTTCTGGATGCCAGATCAATTGATAATTCTATATTTTTAAGAAATTAAATATGCATATCACATGGCATGGTTATCTATAAGACAAATAAACAGCAATGTATTTAATAACATAGTAATACATTATTAAAATCAAGGTGCTTTCTGAAATGACTAGACAATACATGGATAAAAAGACATACTGTGTCTTGTGAATGTTGTAAATGTTTTCTAGGTTTTTTTACTGTCTCAGTTTTTACCGTTATTGCTGAAATATGTTGAATTTTTCTCTCCTGAGTTTGGAGAATTGGAACAGAACAGAAACACCTCTTTTAAAGCATAGTGTGTAGTGTTTTCTCTTTAAAACAACTTCAACATATCACTGGAACATTGAGGTTGGGAGTTTTTCAGAGTTGTATCTTTGTGGGCTAGTGATATCTAGTTGTGATTTATCAAAGCTCTAAGTTTGGATATATGTTACAGTTTGAACTAATATTAGACTAATATTTATGTATACATAAATGTGCTTTATGTTCATATACAAGATTATGCTTCTCTGGCACAAATAGTGGAGAGTGAATGGGGAAAAGCAGAATACTCAAAGCTTGGCCTTTGTTCATGTAATATAAATGAAATCAAAGACTCCTTCCATTCTCATGACAACAGATGGAAAAATACTGAGCATTGCTTTGTCATGTAGCAGCTATCTGAACACAGAATTCTTACTGCAAGAGGATTTCTTTCAAAAGCATAGGGGGTTATATAGAAAAATAACTTCAAAGAAAAGAAACATCACTGCTAAGAAGACACTTGAGAGAAATTTGCTTTGAGTTTAAGCAAATAGATATTCTTAAATTGTCAGTTTAATATCTTGTTGGCACTGCACACATGCTCAAGGCTAGTAAATTTGAGATGGATTTAAATTTAATACAGAGATGGCAGATTAAGTAGTCAGAATTTACAATCTATTGACACACTGAAAAGCAATTTATATATTTTGAAATTTGGAACTATTACTAAGTAACATCTTTAAAATGATGGTAGAACATTCATGGTAACTCCAAATACTAAATGTTTTAGAGAACAGGGAGAATAAAGATAGGACTGTCTTTTCATTCTGTAGCAACGGTATCTTTATAGAGCTGACATCAGACTTGGTTAGCAAACTACATGGGCTTATGAAAACTTTAAAAGTTATAGCTATAGGTCTCATTATTATTCTGCCACATGATACTTTCTTTTCCCAGTCAATGTGAATGAAAACCAAGTATCCTAAAACTAGGCAAAGGTAAAAGGAAGGTAGATTTTGCTTATGGAAGTAACCTGAGGGGCTTTCTATCTATTGAGAAACCTGAAGATAGATGCATAATTTGATTCCTGCAAATTTATTCTTATTAAGCACTTATCCCAAAGAATATCAGTAGCCTGACCAACCATAAATACTTAAAGTGAGTAGTGCTATTTTTCTCCTGGATTTTTGTCTTTGACAGAGTAGTGAAGTGATAGGCTTTTTTATTCATTGTTTTTATTTAAAGTTGTTTGTATTACTGTTTTGGTGTATCTGAAATTTGTACTGATGTATCACAGAGTCAGTCAGTGTAACTTGAGTTATATACTGTTCTTAGGTCATCATTATCAAGAAAGTTCACATGGGAGTACAGACAGACACATTCTGCTACGTTGCTTGCACTCCAAATAAAAAAAGTATGTTAAGTCCACAAGGCTAAAATGGCCTTTCTTGTCTTTCCCCCATTATGTGTTTCAGTATTTAGATGGAACATGTCTAGAGACCAGGCAAAGAATAGAAGGGGCATGTAAGCTAAGAGTTAGAAATGTTCTTTCAAAAACACATTTGAGACAAAGACTTGACTACCCTTTGTTGAGTGTTGCCCTTGATTTTAAATATATCCAGGTTTTCTTGAAGCGTCCCAATAAATTCCAGGTCTTTGAATTTTGTGATAACGTTAATTCACTTCTCTTTCTCATATTACGTTTGTCTTGTTCTGAGGCTGTAATGCATAAACTTTTCACATTAGGAATATGTTAGTTGTCATTCTAACACACACAGAATATGTTCACATACCATGTTAGGGTGTGTTTAAGAGGCGTATGTTGAACAATAATGCAAATTTATTTGTAATTTCTGGTATAAAGATGCAGCAATTTTCCATGATTGCTCTATTTTGACTCCTTTACCAGGGATGACCATTTGGGAAGTTATGCCTCTTAATTTTCAGTAAATTGTCTGTTGTGAAGAGCTAAAATTTAGTGTCAGATCACTTCTGTATTGTGTTGCCTTTCTGAGTTGATACTTATGTCTTAGTACCTGTGATTTTTACTTTTAGAATAGTTGACTTTTAGTAATACAGTTTCTTTCTAGAAATAAAATGATTAGGCATTAATAGTTAGAAAAGTTGCACAGCTTAAGATTCAAATTGTAAGGAAGGTTTTTCTTTCCCTACCATGTCAGTTAGTTCCTTCTTCCAGTATTTGAGAAGGAACATGTTTATTACAATTCACACCAACAATGATTATTGGTAGGCTTAAAATAATGGGCAGAGATACAAGTCTTAAAGTTTCTTTTTGTTTCTGTGTGTAGGTTTTATAATTTTAAACCACTCATAGTAAAATGCAATGATGCAGAATTGTTAAATCTTTGTCACTAAGTTTTCCTACTGGATATTGTTTGATAATACATGACAGTTTAATACTAATCCGTGTCCCTGCATGTTTAAAAAACTGCTGTATGAAGTTTCAGGCTGGCAACAAATATTTAGTTTTATATTGAAGAACTCTATACTCTATGACTGGAAAACAGTAAGACAGTATGAAATTTGATGATGCTTTTGAGGACAGTGAGAAAGTGATCTGTCCTACAGCAGGCTTACTAGTCTTAGCTCTTCATGGGGCCTGACTTCATAATAAAAGCTGAAAGAAAAAATGAGCAGAGGGGAGCTTCTTCCAGTTAGAACTGGAATGACTAACGTCATGTATATGTTTGTTTTA